GGTTTAGGGGTTTAGGGGTTTGAGACATCTAAGGTGCAGTGTAAGGTCCAGGAGAATCATATGTCTCTTATCTGAGGGTTTAAGCTTGCATTCTCTTACTTCTATACACCCTATATAGCCCTAGATTCAGTTTCCATTTTTTTCCATTTGATTCTCCATTATTATGAACAGTCCATATCTTCCGATCTGAGCCTGGTGTATGGGGGGTTCTGAAAACCAAGGTCCCATTTTGGGGGTCCTTATAATAAGGATTATACTATTGAAATCTATTTTGGGGTGCCTATTTTGGGAAACTACCATATGGATATGTGTCAGGAGGAGTTTGGTACAATCCTGCATGAAGATCATGGCATCTATGGAGGGCTGCCGGGCGGGTTTTAGGTATAGGTTGCGGGCTGGCTTAGGGTTTATAAGGTTTAGGCTTTAGGGTTTAGGGGTCGGGATCTTCAGGAGGGGATGTAGGGTTTAGGGGAGTAAGATTTGGGGCGTCGAAGTATAGCTTTCAAAGAAGAATCTCTTGGAGTCCGCTAGTTTATCCAGAAAACATGGGACTTCGACATGTGGTAGCTTCTCAACATAGCGGATCCCAATAAGAATCCATAATACTACAACACCTGCAGGATTTTAAGTACCCCAATAGTAGGGGCATCATGTCTACCTTGAATAAGGTTGGGGGTGACAGGGCGACAGGTGCCACGTTCTGGCCCTAGGTTCTAATGCTGGAAAGTGGCTGCTTGCTCATGTCATAGGGTTTAGGGCGTAGGGTGTAGGGTTTAGGGCACTTTGTTTTTTGGGAAATGTTGGGGGTATGTAGCAGTATATACGGATATCTTGGGGTACATATGCAATACCTTCATGACCTTGTTTCCTGAAGCCTCTTTACCGACCAGACTTCCATGTTTATCAATCTTTGCGGGACTGTGCTGAGCCATGTCTACAAGCATCTTCAAGGGTTTAGGGTTTAGGGATGTAGGGTTTAGGGCTTAACAGCGACCATCGCAAAGCATTCGGAAAGGCCTTCTCGTGACCGGAAACTTCGCATATCCATTGTCAAGTGCCGGAACTCCCTGAACCCGCAACCCCGAACGCATTACCCTAAATTCCTAAACCCTAAACGCTAAACCCTCAACCCTAAATCCCCACACCCTAAACTCTAAATGTCTAAACCCAGAAAACTAAACACGAATTCCTCGACCCTAAATCCCCAAACCCTGAACAATCCCTAAAGCCGAAACCCTGAACCCCTAAACCCTAAGCGCCAGTCCCGCCATCCTAAATCCCCAAACCTCCAAGATCCCTGAACCCTAAATCCCTAAACCCTAAACGCTGAACCCTAAATCCCTTAGCCCCAAAACCTGCATCCCTGGACCCCCTCAAGCAGATAAAATATAGGTTATATGGGGATCTTATTATAGTATACGCGAAGCAGAAATCTATCTACTTAAGGGGGACTTTAAGTCCCCAAACACTTAAGCCTAACATCGTAAAGAACCTTGGACTCCAAGCCAGAGCAGGCTTACATGGAGTCTCATGGGAAGTTCTAAGTGGTGATACTGGCGAATACAGGGTTGAGGGCTAGGGTGTAGGGTTTAGGGCTGAGGCATGTGGGGGATTGTCAAAATTATGGTCCCTTTTTGGGTCCCCTAAATCAGGCCCCGTATTATAATAGGGACCCAAAAAGGGACCATAATTTTGACAATCCCCCATGTGTCACTACAGTTATGACCTATAGCTCTACCAATCGTAGTTCGACCGCCCGTGTTAATTAAATACCCTCGAACCTCAGAATAGGGCTACAAGGGATCATGAGGGATTCTCTGGGACGGAAAGCCTCTTTCGGTATTGACATCTTGTGTAGCGCTTTTCCAGGAAGACGCAATACATCGGGCTCTGGGGCGGGGTGTCTACAAGGGCTCGCAGTCAGACATGAACTGAGCAACGAGCATCTGCAAAACATAGGAAAATTCGAAAGGCAGTTCAGTGGGTTTGAATTGGGCGCTGCGCCCACCCAGTAACAATATATAGTAAGGAGGTAATATTAATGGCTGCTCTATATGTTATAACTTTTACCAACTGTTACTGAGGCGGGGTTGTATCCAAGGTTTGCGTACATAAGAAGACATCGGGGTCCCAAGCGCAAGGAACATTCAAAGGTCGGCCACTCTAAGTCTTAAACCAATGCAAGTGATATCGGAGTTTCTGCAAGCAGGGGACCCTTGAACGACCTTAGGCATATTTAGGGAATATACAAGGATCGCGGACGACCCTTTTGAGTACTCATCTGGGGCGGCTAATTTTGAAAAACTCCCACAAATAACCCAATATAATAGTTACCAGTTTCTTTTCCATTAACCCTATATAACCCAATATAGTAGCTTCCATTTTCTTTTCCATTAACCCTATATAACCCAATATAGCAGTTTCCATTTTCTTTTCCCATAGTACCGTCACTAGGACCCTTAAGCCCTGCCTAATCCTCGAATAGACCTGCAGCGTCACCCTCACCCTAAACCTGAGGAATTTTCGAAAGTTTAGGGTTTAGGGTTTAGGGTAAGGGCCTCTGACCGTGAACAGTACTTGCCTTAGCAGTCAAAAGCCCGTCCCCCCAAACCCAAGGCCCGAACCCTGAGCTCTAAAACTGCAAACGAGCCATGATCTAAACTTCTTTAAGGGGATTCTACAGGGTGCTACGTGGGGGAGCATTATCAGGGCTATTCAGGGGGATACTAGGAGTTTAGACTATGGCTCTAATCAACTTCAACCTAAGCCTTCTTGTTAGAACCAAACCCTAAGCCCTCAATCCCCAATGCCATCCAGCGACTGTTGGAAAGCTGCAAGTGGTTAAAAAGGTTGCAGCGTGCGCTGGACCCCGACTTGGGCCGACACACAAAAAACTGCGGCGGCAAAGGGTTGGTGTAGGGTCTTAGGATTTCAATGTTTAGGGGGGGATAATAGGGTGTATATTGGGGTTATATAGGGATTATAGGGAATATACTGGGGTTATCTAAGGATAATGGAAAAGACAATGGAAACTACTATAATGGGGTTATACAGGGTCCAAGTTTGAGGGTTTTGGGGCTCAACAATCACGTGGCATCATCATATTACAAAGAGCTTGTAGGGCGAGTATGTATTACGCCAGCGACAATAGGGGTTCCCATTAAACTTGTATGGGGGACATTCTAAACTCCAACACAACTATCAGAAATCTGCACGAAAGACATTTCTGCGGAATAGGAAAGCACTCGATGTCCGTAGCTCGCAAGAGAACTGCAATCCCGGACTCTGCTGCAAACCAGAAAATCAGTCTAAAGCCTGAAACCTAAATAGTAGTTTCCATTTTGTTTTTCCATTGTCCCAATATGACCCCAATACACTTACCCCTGGATTCTTTTACCCTGAACCCTTTAAACCAAACTCTGCGTTCACCAAACTGACTTGAAACCCTGTGGAGGTTTCCCAAAATTAGGGGTACCACCCGGGGTACCGCTTTGAAGGTTTCCTTAACAGGGATTATGGTATTTTGGGGTCTATATTGGGGTCCCCTTATTTTGGGAAACTACCCTGTGTAGAGGGTAGTGGTCTTTGTAGGGTCCTCTTGGGAAGTTCCATGTTCGTTTCGGCGAGTAGATACACTGAGCCCTAAACCCTTTACATCCCTATATGCTCCCTATCCATCCCTATACATCTCTATAAATCTCTATAAACCCCCCCATACATCCCTGGATCCTGTACACCCGTACTTGCCTACTAGGAGGCCCCATAGCCCTTGGGTTCGTGCACGGCGTTGGCACAGCCAAGCTCTGTGGCTTCCGCAAGGAGCTGCAGCCCGTGCTGCCAGGCCTAGTTTGTGGTTTGGGATGTAGGCTACAGGGTTTTAGCATTCAGGATTTAGGATGTAAAGTTGTTAAGGTTTAGGGCTTTGGGTGTAGGTTCTAGGGCGTAGGAGACAAGGGGCTTTTGGGTGTAGAATTTAGGGATGACGGCTATCCCGACACTCACCACGCAAGAGCATTTCTCGAAACCAGGTGACTTTACGGACCCTGGTTGTCTTTGGAGGATTGTTCAGGCATTACGGGGTTCCCGTGAGCAGCTCTTACGAAATAATTTGAGAAGCTCCTTGTCCATCTGCTTGAATGTCGTGTTTGTCTTTAGACGACTGATCCTCATTTACAGGACTCGGAATGTGTAGGAACCAATATCTGGGAACTTGTGTCCAACCAAATTCTGAGGAACTCCCACCTGGTTGGCCTAGCTTTCTGAAAAATTTTCGTATATAGAGTCCTTATCAAACGAAGAAGGGAAAGTATCTAAATGTCCCAAAGGCCAACCCAGACCTAAGTCCCTAAACCCTAAACCCTAAACCCTAAACTTCAAGCCTTAGCCTTAGCTTTTGGCCAGCTTCCAGGACACTTAACCAGCGCCCTGTCGACCTACCATATGCAGCTAGAGTTTAGGGTTTAGGGTGTAGGGTTTAGGGGTTTAGGGTTTAGGGAGTCCAGCTAGAGGGGAAACTGATGAGAAATCTGCCTTTGAAGCAAGATTTTAAAAACAGCCCGTGAGACCCGGAAACCTTGAACCCAAATACTAAACCCCTATGAGACCTTGAAACCCGAAAATCCTTTCCCTTCCTCTAGGCAGGATTTAGGGTTCAGTGTGGTACATCAGCTTGAGGGATGCATGTAGACCCTAAAATTTCCCCAGCAAGATGGGCCCCGCAAGAGTCCATCCGCGGCCTCAGCAGCGTGGGACGCTAAGCCTGATGCGAAAAACGGCCACCGCTATAAGGCTTAGGGTTTAGAATTTAGGGTTCGGGGATTTAGGGTTGGGGCTTCGAGTTGGGGTTTAGCATGTGGGGCTTAGGCGGTCTGACAATATAGGGTCCAGGAGATCAAAAAGGGAACCTAGATCAAAAAGGGAACCTAATCGCCGACACGGAACGTTGGGCCTCGAGATGCGAAAAAGCGTTCGACCTTCAACAGTTTGCGTACCCTGAAAGTTGCTGGCACCAGTTTGTTTGCAAGCCGGCCACCAGTGGCTTCCTGTTCGTTTCTAGGCCCTCTAGGCGTTCCCTGTATGGCGAGCACACTTGTTTGCAAGTCGGCCGCGGGCTGTGCTGTTTCCACTCCACCACAGCCGTTACCTTCCCCCAGTTTAGCATGGAACCTCATATGGCCCGGTCTTTGAAGGGCTGCAGACTTCATGGAGACCTCGTAGGCGTTTCATATTTGTTTAGGGGAGCGTAATCCTGTCCAGGCGAATAACGAAAATCAGCACAACTTGGTACTCGGCGAAGGTGTCTGAAGACGCAAACACGATTTAGGGTCTGGGATATAGGGTGACAACCCTCAACCACCGCCAGAAAAAGTTCTGCCGCAAGCTAGACTGCAGCACCAGCATTTGTTGCCAAATTTCCAGTTCCTGCGTCAGGCGGACCGCTGCCACTAGAAGCAAGGAAGAGCCTAGATCATGACACCCGGCAAGGTTTAGTCTCTCAATCTTGTGCGGCACATATGGCTGTGGAGGATACGATTGCGGTCACTATTGGTATGGTTCTTACTTGGAAGTTGCTACCTGAACTGTTGTTTACAGGTCGCCTGCAGTCATAATCTTAACTGCAGAGAAGAGAGCTTTAATGCGCCATACCCCTAAAGCTGACATCGAGCAACAGCAAGAATTAGAAGTATTAAACTATAGCCAGCTGTCAGCGCCTGCTGCCACATGGGCTGAGGGCTGTGGGTATATTCATCAGCTTTTGATTTGGTCGGTTCCAGTGGTAAAATCAAAACTAAGGCTTAGGGCTTAAGTTCAGGGACCGCACTGATGACTAGCGTGTCAAATCTACATTCCCAGGTCGAGCGTGACGTCTGAGCCCTCTACAACCAACCCTGAGGCACTCCAAGCCCGAAATTCCTAAACAATAAACCCCAAGCCCGGGACCCCGGCCCTACACTCAGCCCCCAAACCCTGGACCTTGAACTCAAACCCTAAGTCCCAGACCCCAAAACCTATCCCACTGATCTCAAAATCGATGGTCTCAGGGTTTATGGGTTTGCCTGCACTGAAGGCCGCCGTATCCCGCGGAAGCCGACCTTGTGGCACCGTTTGCTTAAGGTTTCGGGTTTAGGGTTCAGGGTTTGGAGTACTGCGGGGTTTCTCTCAGAATGAGGTTTTGTGCTTAGGGTTTAGGGTCGGTATACAGGAATACATGAAGGTAAGGCTGGGTAAGGCCGAAAGCTTTCACCACACCGTTCAGGGTTACAAGTCTAACCCCCCCTAATGCTTAAGCTGGGAGACCCAAAAAAATTAACACAAAATTTCTGGAAGCGTCTTCAGAGGGGAGGGTTGAGGTCTTCCTGCAATAAGGTACCCTTAGGGGCCCGAGGGGTACATGAAGACCACTAGAAAAAGATTTGGATCAGGGCCAGGCTTCCACGGAGACCTTATTGAGGGACTCCCATGGACTTTCTCCCATGGATTTAGGGTTTAGGGTTTAGGGTTTAGGGTTTAGGGTCTTGCGTAATTAAGGTGCTGGATATGTGAGTACTGTACGTCCCTTAGACCTGTAAGAATAGTTGTACATGTGAAATAGTTCCTTACTAGAATACTTGGAACAATTCAAAGGAGACTTCAGAATAGGGCATTATAGCATGGCTTTAGAGGCAACATTTGCCGGCATCCACTCTCACCAGAAGCTCTCAGCGACAGCAAGCTGCCCCCACCCATTAACAGTAGGGTTTTGGGTTTGGGCGTGTTGGGTTTAAGGTAGGGGACCGCAACGTGCATTGGATTGTTCTTGGATACATTTTCGACATTCCTTGTTCATTTTAGCTTAGTGCAAGGAAAAGTTGGGAATTTCCCAGAGTTGGTGATGAACTGATTCTTATCTTGCCCGACGCCTAAACCCCTAAACCCGAAACCCTAAACCCCTAAACCCCGAAACCCCTAAACCTTAGGACATTAACGAACATTTTCAAGCCAAAAGCACCTCCGCTCTCAGCAGAGTTAAGGTTACAAATCAAAGCATGTGAGCTATAGCCTAAACTCCTTAAAGGGGGGTTATATAGGGATTATGTAAGGGTATACAAGGATTATATAGGGTTACATAAGGATATTTAGGATTTAGGGTTCAGGGTCTAAAGTTGCATTGGAATGAGTAAAGGGGGGTTTTGGGGGGATTATATAGTAGAGTCTTATAGGGTTTAGTAAGAAGGGCACTAGGAGTTTAGACAGTGGCTCCAATAGTTTAAGGGCAGCTTGATGAGACTTCACTGGCGAAAACCGGGAGTCAGAACCAGAGATGCTTGCCTAGAAATGCCGAGTTTGAAGCGGTTTAGGGTGTAGGGCTAAGGGTTATGCACGCCCATGTTTCATGGCATTGCAACTTTCAAATTGTGCAATAACACCATGCCACCTTCAAAGGAGCCCGAAACAAGATACCTGATCACTTTAGGGTTTAGGGCTTGGGATTCAACGCTCAGGTTGCGGGGCTTATGGGTCTAAGGGATTAAGAATTCTGAGCTTCGGGTTTCAGAGTTTGAGGCGCATGGTTTGCGAATTCAACGACTAAGGTTCACGGATCGGTGCTTGAACTCTAGGCTTAAGGTATAGGGGCTGGATCTTGAGCAGTTGGAGAACTCGGCTGCAAACTCGATGAAGAAGCAACCCCTGCGGGGAGTTCTTACAGCTGGGGGCGCCCCTGTAATCAAGATTACGGTAGTTTGTAGTATACAAACGGATCTTCCATCCCTGGAAAAACCATATCGAGACTACATGCTGATTAACGATTCAGGCTTCTACATTATGTTACGAAACCTAGAAAAATCCTAAACCCTAAACCCTAAGCCCTCTTTAACCTCCATAGTAAAGTAGTACCTATAGAGATTAGGAGGTTTAGGGTCTCAGCCATCAGCCCCAAGCCTGGTTCCTTATTTGGATATATTTTAGGTGGACCCCCCACTCAGTAATAGTGACTACAAGGGATAACAAGGATCATATTCGGGTCCTATAATTTTCCTATTATACCACTATTACAGGGTGGGGCGGTCCTCCTAAGATATATTCGTGTATTCATTTGGGGTTGGTATAAGCGCTATCGAAAATGAAAGTTGTATTCAACAATGAGCCAGACCGAAATCACATCTTTGTGTAATCCGTATATACCCCCTATATAATCTCTACATAACCCCTATGAAACCCCTCAATATCCCCTATCCCTTTGAAATCCCTTTTTTCACCCCTATAAAGCCCCCTACATCTCCCCTACATAACCCATTTGTAATCCATACATGATTCCTATAGAACCCCCACATAATATGCAAGCCCTTCTCAGGCCAAGGTGCGGTGCGCCAGCGCATTGAGAAGCGCTGTTGCCGAATGCCAAGCGAGGCCGCCCTGAAGGAGGTACTGTTTACTATAGCTTAGGGTTTAGTAAGGGTTTAGGTTAGGGTTTAGGGTTTTACTGTATTTTGGGTACTGCCCCCCCTCAGTAACAGTTGCATAATAAGTATAATATGGTTATATATATATAGCCCTTAGTAGGACCCCTAATATGCAGTACCCAAACTATATTGGTGTTTAGGCTTTAGAGACGTCACTAGCTCTCTCGCAACACTTTTGACTTTCTCCGGTACACTAAAATGGCCATTACGAAGTCCAGCATTAAGGCGAGATATTACATGCAACTACCGAAACTGGCACTGCGGACAACCTACTTGCTGAATACCAAAGCTATACCGGCCTGTGCAAAAAGCGGGGGATTTCATTGAATTTCTCTCCCATCTTACGTACTGGTGAGCAAAACGTTAAATGCCAGTAAGGCTTGGTCACTGGTATTCAGTTGG